GACCACGGCCGAAACCTTATTAAGGTTAGCTTATTGATTTTGGATTATGAAATCACTTTTATATATGCGAATCGGCCGAAATTCATTGAGATGCCTAATATGAACTAAGAGGATTAGTCATTGTTGACGACGGTGGACACCAGTAATATGAAAAAAAAAAATTCACTTTTTTTTTCTTATATATATATTTTTTAAAAAAAAATTAGAGAAACCATGACATCCTTTAACATAAACAAGGATATTATCCTTTTCAAAAAAAAAAAAAAAAGGGATATTGTCATGGGATAAATTTTCATTTGATCCGGATAGATCGTTGACTCATTTCCTATGATCTCCCAAAACTTATAGATCCATCATTTACCGTTAACAAAATGCAATACCATCATTTAGATTATGAAATCACTTTTCACGACCAACAACCATGCATTCAAATATTCAATTGCAAAAAGCTTCAATCTCACCCGTTTCCTTTCTCGTTTTCTTCTTAATTTCTTGGTCCCAAAAATCTGTAACTGTTGCCTGGTGGAAGATTGTGACATATTACCATTCTTTTTCCCCCACTCAATTCTAAACTCCAAAAGAAAAGTTAGAAATTAAGGGGCAGCACTCCGTGAAGTGCACTTTAGTGATCATTAGATTTTATATATTATTTTGAAAGTTGTGTGAATATAAATCGTTGTAGACGACGTGTAGCTAGGTAGTAATTTTTGGATGAATTGGAGCGGATGATGCATTCATGTTGCTCTAGAAGTGATAATCGCCATAGGACAAGTTGTTGATGTTTACAAATTTTATAAAAGCATTAGGCCTTTTTAGATTTTTGAATTAGAGAATGCTAATGAGACTATGAGAGCTCTCCTTTTTTTTTTTTCCTTCCTTTTCTTTTTGTTTTCCCTTCTGAATAAGAGCTCTCCTAATAATATTAAGGAATATTTTAGATGTCAATAATTGTTAAGACTCTGTTTGGTTACATTGAATTGGGACCAAGAATTGGAATTGGAGCTCTTTAATTCCAATTCTTGTGTTTGGTTTCTAAAAATAGAGGTCCAAGAATTGGAATTATAATTCAAGATGGTGCTCAATTCTTTATTTTCAATTCTTTTGTGGGAGCAAATTAGAATCCAAATTCAAGGGACTTAAAAAAATACGCGGGTCATAACTGGGTCGTTTCCGGGTTATAACCTAAACGGGTCGCTCTATCAATTTTTGTATTTTGGCCTTTTTTATATTTTTCTTTTATTTTTTCAGCGCTGTTTTTTTCTTTTTCTTTTTCTTTTTTTGCTTTGAGCGCTTCCTGGCATTTTTCTTTTATTTTTTTCTTCTTTTTTTTGTTGGGCTGTTTGTCTCATTATTATTATTATTATTATTATTATTTCATATATATCAATTTAATAATTATCAATAAAATCAATCTAAAATTAATATTGTATCTTTCTTACAAAAAAATTAAAAGTATAATTGTACCCAAAAAAAATTAATAACTAAATATTTTAGTTTTGGGTTAAAATTTTTAATATATGATGATATAGTAAACAATATAGCATTTTCAAATTTTTTTTATAAAAATTGTTCCATATATACACCTATATTATAATACACACACACACACACACACATATATATATATATTAAACTATTTATGGAATCTTTTCACCAAAAATTATGTAAGTTGAGTTTTAAGTATTTATTATTTCATATATAATTGTATACTAAAAATTAAAAAAAAAATTAAGCATATATTATATACTAATGTTAATCTATGTATAAATGAACCTCAATATTCATAAAATGAATTTAAAATGTTATATAATAATTTTTTAAAAAATTTTATATCAATCAAAACATCAAAAATTAAAAATTTTGAAAAATAATAAAAGAGAGGAAACAAGGATGTTTTACGTGTTACTTGTTTGTGTATTAAGTGAGAATTTTAAGTATCATATTAATAATTCTTATACATAATAATATTTTTTTTGTTTCCAACAAAAATGTGTGTATATAATAAATTACAAAATTGATATAGCAAATTAATTAAAAATAATAATCTGTTTTAACAAAAAAATATAAAAATTGTATTAGTTAAACAACCACAAATATCCATAATAAATTAAGTTTTTTGTGTTATACATATCCATAATAAATTAAATTTTTTTTTTAGTTTTTGACAAAAAATATAAATTGTACTAGTATTAGTTATACAATAACAAATTAATTTTAATTCTAAAGTATCAAAATTTTTATGCACCCAAACGCAAGAATTGGAATTATAACCTTAATTCTAGTAAATTTTCAAGATCTCCGAAACAAAGGAATTGAGATTGAATTACAATATTAATATCTCATTTTCAATTTAATATTATTGTAATTCCAATTCAATTGCAATTTAATCTAACCAAACGGAGCCTTAAAATAATTAAAAAGGAATTGGTTTTTGAACTCTGGACCTCGTGCACTAACAATTTCCTACCTTGTCATCCGGCCAACTTTTACGCACTACTACATATGATTGATAGAACCAAATGTAGTTTTAAATATCTAACAAAATTAAAACTAAATAAATTGCCAGATTTTAGTTATCATTGGTCAGGCCAGAGTACATTCTATTTTTTTACAAAAAAATCCAGATACATATGGATCGAACGTGTCACATAATTTGGGTTCAAATGATAGTGTTGTCATCTACAACTCTCCCTAACTAGGTTAGCCACTTTTTTTTCAAACCAAAACTCATGATACAACAAACCATATCATATACTCTCTCCATTCCAAGGAAAATAGTCTCACAAAACTTATAAAATTTGTACTCCCTCCGTTCCAAAATAAATATTGTTGGAGAACAAATTATTTTTTTCAAAATACATGTCGTTTTCGTATTTCGAGACATATTTTGCCAATTTTCTCCAACATTGCCCCTACATGAAAAATTATAATTGTGTTTAAAGTAAAAATGCATTGGCACTAAATAGTATTGGAAATGAAATTCTATCGAAAGTAAATGAGGGTAGATTACTATTTTAACAAAGTATTTAATATTTTCTTAAATTTTATACAATTCCTCTAAGGACATCTATTTTGAAATAGAGAGAGTATTAAATAGTTTGGATTTTAAAATTCAATATAAAATTATTTTTATAAGAAAAAAAATATAATTTTATGTGGTACAATAACTGCACACAATATTTACGTTAAGCGGCGTGCGGGACCTTGGTTAATTACCAGTTGGTTGGCGGGTTATAAGGCCAGGTGTGCGGGCGATTGAACCACTGCCGCACACAGGAACAATCAAAACATACAATTTGGAATGTTGTTTGGAATTTGGAGCTAAATTCCGATCATCGGATCGAATCTCGAAACTCCGTTTAATTTCCAAGTTCCAATGATCGGAGATCTGAATATCTGATGATGATCACTGCTTTAACAATCTCTGCACCGCTATCTCTCCTTGTCTGCCATTTTCACCCTTTTCAGTTTTCACCAGTACTACTATTTCTTTCCTCTCTGTTTTTTTTTTTTTTTCCTTTTTTCCTTTTTTTTCCCATTGTTTGCATTTTCATATATCACTTTGTAAACTTCTGATTGTCTATGCGTGATTTTCGATCTTGTGAATATATGTTATAGATCTATATTATATAGTACTACTTCAGTCCCACAAAAACCTTCCTCCATATATTTTTTGAAGCTTTGATTTAAAGAATAGTAACTTAAATGCGTACATGCTGTGCTAAAATCTATCATCGGCAAATTGATATATCTTGATTGTAGTGTTGAAAGGATCCGTTTACTTGAAAAGGTTAGATAAAGACCATCATTTTAAAATGAATAAGATTTTTACAGTATCATGTTTTAGATATCTTATCAGGCACCAGATTACTTCCCAAAAAAAAAAAAGGAAGAAAAAGAATCATGAGTGTTAAGTATTTTTATCAGTTTCAATTTTGACTGATCACTAGCTAGGTTGAACCAAACAAACTAGAACGATAATTGAAGTTCAAGGTCTAAATCATAATTTATCCAAATAAAACTTAAATCAACTCTAAGCTGACGCAAGGACCGAGTGAGTGATTTAATTAAACCATTTTTTTTTTCCCTTTTGGAAGGAATCTAAACCATATATATCCAACGCGCTAAATTACTAGTTTTTGAAAATAAGCATTCAATTTGAAAGGCAGATGAATCATGATCCGCAAAGACATTAAATTCCAGTATCGTCTTCGGATTTAGATTTAGCTAGCATATGATTTTGAATTCTCGATATCTCTTATATATTATGACTATCGCTTATAGTATATTGTTTATCTTGTACAATCCTGAATTAGATAAGAACAAAACAAAAGATAGTATATACTATGTAGCTGAGCCCTCCACAAGATATTGAATAAACGATAATCATCTCTTTTGTTGCTTTCCGGGATGGAAAAATCATCCTCCAGTTTCCCACATGGACTCTATAAGCAAACAACATTAATATGGAACCACGTAACACTTATTGATCATCGAAGTCATATATGTTACTCCCAGTTCTGATCATGCATGTTGTCCAATCTTACGATCACTCCAGACATATTCATCATTTACGGTGCAGAAACAACAATGGCGGTCATTTTGGTTTGTAAAACCTCCAAACTCACCAGCAGTTGAAAGTTGGATTTTGAATTTATCTGAAACAAAAACCATGCAATGATTCATGCATCTTCTTCGTGCTTGCCTGCGCTGATCAGTTTCTTTGTCTCTGTTTGCTTCACCTCTAAGTTGGCTGACGGGTCCCCCAACCCCATTATTATTCCTTCATTCATTATTAACTCCATTCTCGACCTATAGCCAAAAATAGATTACATCTTCTTCTTCTCTCAATTCTTCTAATAATAATATATATAGAATAGAATTTCCACCAAACCCTCCCATTGTCCTCTTGATTTAGTCTACCATTTCTTCTTCCTTATCAAATTTGGTGGGTTTAATTAAGGGAAAAAAAAGCGTTGAGAAAAATTGTATGTGATATAATGGAATCATCATCATCAACGTATTGGACGCCGGAGCAAAACAAGCAGTTTGAGAAAGCGTTGGCGCAATTCGACAAGGAGACGCCGGAGAGATGGCAAAACGTAGCAAGGGCAGTTGGGAAATCGGCAGAAGAAGTGAAGAAGCACTACGAAGTGCTCGTGGAGGATCTCCGGCGGATTGAATCGGGTCGGGTTCCCATTCCTAACTACACAACTACCGCAAACAAGTATCATCGCTACCGTAGTAGTGGCTAAAACCGTTTTCTTCAGCCCAAGATAAAGCTGTTCAACACGCTGAACTATAGATGCACGGGCCCGAGAGAAATGTAATAATATAGAGATAATAGATAAAGTAACTCTAGCTAGCTATTAGGTTTTATTTTATGTTTGTATGTATTACTTAATTCGATTTTTTTTTTTTTTTTTTTTGTGATGGGTAAGTAAGTAGTGCATTTTTTTTCCCCCCAATTCTTGATTCAATTCTTGGAAGAGTGATCATGTTTTTTCTTTCTTTCTTTCTTGTTTTTTTTCCCCTCAATTTTTTCTCGTTTCAGTACATCTTGCAATTAAATACACTAATAAATTTGGATGATATCACTAATATCTTTTGGAAGTCGGTGGAAATTTCGGGATTCTCCAACAGGACGAAATCCCTAAATCTTTCAATGATCGATTCGAAACTACTCCTAACTTAGAACAAAATTAAGGTAGTTGACATCAATAATAACTTGTCAACTGATTAAATACACAAATATTTTGGGAAAATATAACTGAGTTGTACTGAAAATAATATAAAACTCAAAAATCAATGTGAACTATTTTTTTTGGGACTAGGAGAGTATTATTTTTAAAAGTTTGGGTGGAAGTTCCGGAGTTTTGGACATGGCCGATTAGAAACTACTCCGAACTTGGAATCAAAAGAAGCAAGTTGTAATTAACATCAAGAATAGAAAATCATGGCAGCTAACTTCGCTTAATGTTACTGGTACATGAAAACACCATCACCAATCGGAATCAATAAAAATAATTTTCATCAGTTGACATTGGGTTCCTTGGGAAAATCTGCATTACAACCATATAGTAACTTAGAGGAAGTAAGATGTTATTCGGAATGACTAAATAAAGTTCCAGAACAATACATGTGAATGCACAAAAAAAGAAAAGAAAAAGAACAGTCATGTGAAACCCAAATGTCATAACAAAGTTCCTGAGATTCAAGGAACAAACAGGAGCAATATTTGAACTTGTGCCTGAGTCCTTTGCAAGTCTAAGCATCCTTCTACTATGTGCAAGTCGAATTTGGGTCATCAAGCTCCGCATTTGCTGCAAAGTCGTGAATAATTTTGTAGCGGCTCTAGAAGAATCAGGGAGTTCATTATCTAGGGTTTAGGTTTGGTCGAAGAACAGAGATGAAGTTTCAGATTGAGAATTTGTGGAAAATTTTGTGTATTATCAACTTACATAATCTGTACAGTATGAGTGTATATATATACATGTAAGTCAGCTGCTAAGCATACATGCTAATAAATTGGTCGGAGTATTAATAAGTAAAAAAATCATTCTACCCTAATTTAAGTTATAACACTATACAACTTAAAAGGGTAAAATTGTACACAAGATTAAAAACTGAATTCTTCACTTAGTACTATTTACAGTAATTAAGAACAATCAAAATAACTTTGATTCTTCAACCTGGATCAAAGTTATAATTCTCTATGGCGGCAGCCTTTAAAATGTATGAATTGCGAATATTCCATCCACAGAGATCTTATCGACCGTAACCGAGCCAACGTAGAAGAAGCTATACCTGTCCATGATCCAATAAAGGTTCTGAAGAAATGGGGCCCTGACAATATATATACAATAATCACTACAAGGGTATGCGAAATTAAGTTAGCAAAAGTTCAGCCCAAACGTAGTTGAGTATAAAAAGAAAAAAAAAAAAAAAAAAGGAAGAAAGAATTTTGTTACACAGAACACACATATGTTTGAACAGATTAAATTGATATTTTTCCATCAATATAGAAAGAGTATTAAGAATTTCTTTTTCTAAAGTAGAATAAACCTTCCTAATTCGGGATGCGCCGCTTTGATGATATTCAGCTGACCTTGTTACTTTAAGCCATAAGCCTTGTCTAGCTTGGTTTACAGCTTGAGATGTTCAGGTGAAAAAACTACTGGTTAGTAACTCCCCCTCACAAACATTGACATATAGTACCTCCACTTTATATTATCTGTCGTATTTAGACAAACATACATATTAAAGAAAACATGTTCGAAAATATAATTTTATATATGTATTGACCTTTTTATTCCTAATTAATTGTATTGAGAATACGCAACAAATTAAATTGTAAGTATTCCCTTTGTCAAAGTTATTGTCCACTTTTGTTTGAAAACAAGATTTTATTTTAGACAAACTCAACTTTTTTTGGCATGAAGTTCCAAATATACCCCTACAAACATAAATGGTTTAATCGGCCAATTCAAAAACCCATCTCAAAGCGCAAGAACAAAGCTTTCATTTTGTTCTTCACTTTGGCATCTATAATCGAACCAATTCAGGGGAACATTTTCAAAATTTGGAGAATCTTCTCACTCCATATTTTAATTTAGTATTTATAAAGACAATTCTTCAATTTCATTGAAAATTTTTGAATTGAAAGAGGTTTTCAACTGTGAGCCGCCAATTGAACAAAAATTTCGGATGAATTGATTTGAATTTGACGGAAGTTTTTACTCTGAATTTTCAATTTGATGCTCCTCCATCATGATAATTATTCTATTTTGCAGCGAATTTCTTTTGAATCCATCACCGCTGCTTGGAGTCACCGAAATTTGATGAAATTTATTCTCTATATTCCTTCTCAGCAACCACCCGGCCACCTTATCTTTACCTCTGCTTGATCCGTCGGAGAACCACCGCTGCTTGGAGTCATCGGGGAACCATTGTTTACAGCTATTGGTGTTGTTTGGTTCTACTGTGTGTGTCGAGAATAATGGAGAAAATGGTTTCAGTGAAATTTTTTTCTTTTTCGGCATAAAGGGTATATGTGTAACTTAATTAAAAAAAATCAAATTGGATAATAATTTTAGGACAAATTTTTTTTGACAAAGTGGACAATGTATAATTTTGAAACTGGGAGTAGTTGTTATTGATATGACCAATTATGTGAGGTCCCAAATATTGAGACCTCTTTGCTTAGCTAATATTAGCGTTGCTATGTATAAATTAATATCTTTATTTCCATATTTATTTATATTTTGGCCATTGAGGAACATAAAATATAGCTTCAATAAAATATTTAGACTTTTAAAACATTAGGAAGAATAGATTCTAAGTAATTAAAGTCTTTTACTATTATTTCTTTTTATTCTTTGCTAAAACCTACTTAGTCTTATTAACTAGCCAAAACCAAATAAGGAGTCATCTGATCAGGTGATATTGTTCATGAATAGTTACGTTAGTTTATTTATCTTTTAAGTAAATAATTTTTAATCTATTGTCTATTGAAAAGAAAGAAGAAAGAATTTATCTTTAAATAACTAATTTTTTTAATTTAATTAGAACAAAAAAGAGAAGACTAGAAAGTGTCTGCATTATCCATTCCACATTCCCACCATTTCTCTTCGTTATTTTATTTTGACCATAGAATAAGTCGAGGGAGGAAGCATGCTACGGGGATATAGGAGTAACTAGTAGTAAAATCGAAGTAACAACGCAGCAGAGAATCCTTGTTAACGAACTCATCGAAATCCCCAAATAGTAAGCTTCATTCCTTGTTAAGTAATCTTAGTATTTTAACAATTGGTTGAGAAACACTGATTGATGGCCAGGATTAGAGCTATGGCTATTGTATTTCTTTGAATTTGTTTGTTAGATCTTAAATGTTTCCGTACATGTTGAAATTGAGAGATTTCTTTCCAAATTTGATTTCCATAGCTTAAGGCTTCAATTTTTCCAGTAGGGGACCTGGGAGTTAGGCACTATCATGAACAAATAAATAAGAGAGAGCACAAACTTGAATTCTGAAATAAAAGAAAGAAAATGAACAAAGGAATTGGGAAAAAGAATTCCAGATTGGTTAGCTGTTTTGAGGGGTCGATTATTATGTTTTATGGCTCTTTTGCTATATATGCGTCTTACTAAACCCTTTCATGGCGATCATTGTTTCTTCTGTTTTTTTACGGCGTGTCAAATGGCTTGCAGGATCTTTCGAAATATTTGCTTGAAATAAAGCATGTTTGCTGTTGGTAATCTGTGAAACTTAGAAAAGCAGAGTTGAGCTTCCCTGTTAGAAGCTTGTTTCTCTTATTTGTTGAATCCTTTCTCAAGATTTCTTTTTACGAGTCTTTTCCTTGTTGAGCTTATTTTAAAGTGGCTCCTACAGGTTAATAAATAAATCTCTGATTTGTTTAGAATTTGGGTTTGAATATAACATAATGGTCACTGAAAGTTGGTTTAAGTTACTGCTTTGGGAGACTTGTGCCTCATGATTTCTGAACTCTTCCTCTGATTTCTTTGGTAGAACTTCATTTACTTTATAATAGTGCAACTCTGTTTTACCGGCTAGTTAGAAGGGCTAATGGTTTGTTTATAAATGGATACTGAATTTGACCCTCTGTCACCTTAGGGCTGAAAATTCTGAACTCATAACTTAAAGCCAAACTTGCAGCGTCCTTCCTTCTTGAACCCAAACTCTTCTTTTCATAGAATTTGTTTTATTTACTTTTGCTGTCTACCATGTTGTAGAATAAATCAAGAGCTAGTCGACCTTAGGATAGTTAAGTTGTAACGGTTCGAGATCAAGGGCAAGACATGCCAGGTGAGTGTTCTCCTTCATTTTATCTCGTCTTTAATTTCAAATATTTTATATTTTTATAAAATTTGTGTGTGGATTAGCATGTGGGTGTGCATGTGTGCCTTTGTTGCGATCCGAGTGATTGTGTGCGTGTGATAAATGGGACTTCGGTCCGTGAGTTTGTGATGCTGTGTGATATATAATATGAGATTATAGCCTGCTGTGTGGTTTGGCTAAATCTCAGCTTAGTGTTATATGGGTGTAAGCCTGCTATGTGGACTAGCTAAACCCGTGCTCACTGTTATATGGATTTTTGCTTGTTGTGTGATCTGGCTAAGTCCATTAGTTGAGGATTATAGCTTGCTGTGTGGTCTGGCTAAATCCTCGCATAAGGAGGCTATGGCTTACTGTGTGGTCGGGCTAAATCTCGACTTGTTTGGTCTTTGCGCGAAG